TATATCTAAATCTGGACCGATTTTCACGAAACTTGGCAGACATCATTCTAGGCTCAATTTAGCACGTTATACCAAATTTCGCGCAAATCGAAACATATATAGGGACATTGGTGCACCATTTACCTAAAATCGGGCGAAACTATATATGGGAGCTATATCTAAATCTGAACCGATTTTCGCGAAACTTGGCAGACATCATTCGAGGCTCAATTCAGTACGTTATGCCAAATTTCGTGCAAATCGAAAGGTATATAGGGACTTTGGTGCACCATTTACCCTAAATCGGACGAAACTATATATGGGAGCTATATCCAAATCTGAACCGATTTTTCCCAATTTCAATACTTTTTTTGACAATTTAACACCAACAGACGGACGGACATACATAAATCGACTCAAAAAGTGATTCTATGCATATTCTCAAAAGGGTATAAAAATTGTAGCGATCGCTAAAAATTTTCTATAGAAAATTGTAGCGATAATCGCCAGAAATTTTTTTTTATCGATTTGAATTTTTCTATTTGTGTAAACTGTGTGTATTTTCCCCCCTTGAACAACCCTCTTCTTTTTTTGGGTATCACTTTCCAAATCCAATTTCCAATTTTAGTTCGCCTTGAAGTACCCTCCCTTTCCATTTCACCCTTTATGCTGATCCACTTACCTTCCTCTACAAATATTTGACACAGAAATTTGTTATGCGAGAGATAAGTAAACATTTATTTGTTATTTAACCTTTTTTTGCTGTTGCCGACAAATCCTTTGAGGGACCTCAATCTTAGAAAGGGGGTAAGGCAACACGCAATACCATCCCCACCCCTCGATTTACTTAAATTGAACACAATCAAGTTGATTTGTGGCACACGTCTTGGATTCTACCTGTCTTACTTCGTTCGTAAGGTAAGGCGAAGCATTTTTTTCCACCGTCAGCAGCTAAGTAAAGAGTCGAAGGAGGGGGGAAGTCCTTCTCCTTCCACCTCCTTTATCGAAACATATGTATCCTTTCAAATGTCTTTGGTTCGTGGAATATCTATATCAGGATTTATGTAGCCGATACGTGTAACCAAATGGTTGGGAACATCCAAGTTGGCAGTTAGTTTTTACCATTTTGCAAGTCTGCAAGTACGTCTGTCTGTAGGTCCGTCGGTCCGTTCGACTGTGTGTCTGTTGACTTAGTTTATGTCTTGACTTTATTTGTTTGCCTTGTTCTCGTTTTCGGATTTTATTCTTTCGCTTTCATTTTCCTCGTTTCTGTACACTGCCCTGTTGGCTGGGAAGCCAAGGCAAGGAAGGAGAGAAAGAAAATCCAAACAAGTGTCGGTTAGGGTCTTTATGGTGGTTGGGGAACCTCCTTAAGGATATATTGAAAAGCCCATAAACCAGTTGTTGTTAGGTAGGTGTCCCAAATACCCTGAACCAAAGCAGTGACAGGCAACTACGTGCAAGGATATCTACGTTCAGCTGGAGATGTCACACGAATCCTATCATTTTTTATGGGATCTTGTCATGCTGTCTGTCTGTCTGTTTGTTCGTTTGTTTTGTTGGGGAGTTTTTTCTGCTGTCAATTTGTTGGAGTTGTTGTTGCTGTTGTGTTTGGTGCTTGTAATTGTCAAAGTATTACAAGCTGTTTTTGCTTTGTTAGGAATTGCTTACGCCGTCAACCATACGCCAGCCAGGTGGGATGGCGACACACATTTTCTCGTCCTTTAAATTCCGAACAATTGACACCGATTGTTTAGCGATTATCGCTAGAAATTTCTTTAGAAAATTTTGAAATTTTCCCATGGAAAATTTTATCGATAATCGTTGAAATTTTCGTACAGAAACTGTTATCGATAATCGTTGAAATTTTCCTTGTACAAAATTTTATCGATAATCGTTGAAATTTTCCTATAGAAAATGTTATCGATAATCGCTAAAATTTTCCTATACAAAATTTTATCGATAATCGTTGAAATTTTCCCATAGAAAATTTTATCGATAATCGTTGAAATTTTCCTATAGAAAATTTTATCGATAATCGTTGAAATTTTCCTATGGAAAATTTTGTCGATAATCTCTAAAAATTTTCCCTATAGAAAATTTTATCGATAATCGATGAAATGTTCCTATAGAAAATGTTATCGATAATCGCTAACATTTTTTCTATAGTTTTCTATAGAAAAAATGTTATCGATGTTATCGATAATCATTGCAATTTTCCTATAGAAAATTTTATCGATAATCGTTGAAATTTTCATATAGAAAATTTTATCGATAATCATTGAAATTTTCCTATAGAAAATTTTATCGATAATCGTTGAAATTTTCCTATAAGAAGTTTCATCGATAATCGTTGAAATTTTCCTACAGAAACTGCTATCAATAATCGTTGAAATTTTCCTATAGAAAATTTTATCGATAATTGTTGAAATTTTCCTATAGAAAATTTTATCGATAATCATTGAAATTTTCCTATAGAAAATTTTATCGATAATCGTTGAAATTTTCCTATAGAAAATTTTATCGATAATCGTTGAAATTTTCCTATAGAAAATTTTATCGATAATCGTTGAAATTTTCCGATAGAAAATTTTATCGATAATCGCTAAAATTTTTCTATAGAAAATTTTATCGATAATCGTTAAAATTTTCCCTATAGAAAATTTTATCGATAATCGCTAAAATTTTTCTATAAAAAATTTTATCGATAATCGCTAAAATTTTTCTATAGAAAATTTTATCGATAATCGTTAAAATTTTCCTATGGAAAATTTTATCGATAATCGTTGAAATTTTCGCTAACATTTTTTCTATAGTTTTCTAATTTTTTCGCTAACATTTTTTCTATAGTTTTCTATAGAAAAAATGTTATCGATGTTATCGATAATCATTGCAATTTTCCTATAGAAAATTTTATCGATAATCGTTGAAATTTTCCTATAGAAAATTTTATCGATAATCATTGAAATTTTCCTATAGAAAATTTTATCGATAATCGTTGAAATTTTCCTATAAGAAGTTTCATCGATAATCGTTGAAATTTTCCTACAGAAACTGTTATCAATAATCGTTGAAATTTTCCTATAGAAAATTTTATCGATAATTGTTGAAATTTTCCTATAGAAAATTTTATCGATAATCATTGAAATTTTCCTATAGAAAATTTTATCGATAATCGTTGAAATTTTCCTATAGAAAATTTTATCGATAATCGTTGAAATTTTCCTATAGAAAATTTTATCGATAATCGTTGAAATTTTCCGATAGAAAATTTTATCGATAATCGCTAAAATTTTTCTATAGAAAATTTTATCGATAATCGTTAAAATTTTCCCTATAGAAAATTTTATCGATAATCGCTAAAATTTTTCTATAAAAAATTTTATCGATAATCGCTAAAATTTTTCTATAGAAAATTTTATCGGTAATCGTTAAAATTTTCCTATGGAAAATTTTATCGATAATCGTTGAAATTTTCCTATAGAAAATTTTTATCGATAATCGTTGAAATTTTCCTATAGAAAATTTTATCGATAATCATTGAAATTTTCCTATAAGAAGTTTTATCGATAATCGTTGAAATTTTCCTATAGAAAATTTTATCGATAATCGTTGAAATTTTCCTATAGAAAATTTTATCGATAATCGTTGAAATTTTCCTATAGAAAATTTTATCGATAATCGTTGAAATTTTCCTATAGAAAATTTTATCGATAATCGTTGAAATTTTCCTATAGAAAATTTTATCGATAATCGTTGAAATTTTCCTATAGAAAATTTTATCAATAATCTTTGAAATTTTATCGAAAAATGCTAAAATGTTTCTACAGAAAATTTTATCGATAATCGCTAAAGTTTTTCTATAGAAAATTTTATCGATAATCGCTAAAATTTTTCTATAAAAAATTTTATCGATAATCGCTAAAAGGTTAGAACATTTTATCGATAATCGCTAAAATTTTTCTATAGAAAATTTTATCGATAATCGCTAAAATTTTCCTATAGAAAATTCTAGCGATAATCGCTAAAATTTTCCTATAGAAAATTTTATCGATAATCGCTAAAATTTTTCTATAGAAAATTTTATCGATAATCGCTAAAATTTTCCTATAGAAAATTTTATCGATAATCGCTAAAATTTTTCTATAGAAAATTTTATCGATAATCGCTAAAATTTTTCTATAGAAAATTTTATTGATAATCGTTGAAATTTTCCTATAGAAAATTTTATCGATAATCGTTGAAATTTTCCTATAGAAAATTTTATCGATAATCGTTGAAATTTTCCTATAGAAAATTTTATCGATAATCGTTGAAATTTTCCTATAGACAATTTTATCGATAATCGTTGAAATTTTCTTATAGAAAATTTTATCGATAATCTGAAATAGTTTCTGAAAAATAATTCATTAATATATTTTTTTTCGTTTTGTTGTTGTTGTGACTCATTGCATTTTTGTTGTTGTTGCTGCATTGTTTTTTTTTGTTTTTGTTATTTTTCGTTTTCTTCTCAATGAAACGTTCGAAACGATCGAAAGGAAGTCATGGAGATTAACATAGCTGAGATATTCCACCCATTTTAATTGTGTGAATTATTTAGATGTTGTTGTTGTTGTTGTGGCTATTGCGTTCTGTTGTTGTTGTCATTCTCTAGCATTTCTGGTTAGTGACGAAAATCGCAGTCAACGACTGAATGACTGACGTTGAACAATTGTGGGAACATCGACAATTAACCTACCTGAGATGTGTCATTTTTACATATTTTGGAAAAGCAGCAAAAACATCGATTATATGGTTGCCAGGTTCCCTACATTGGAAATACTCTATGTGGCTTAATTATGGTTTTAGTTCGAAACAGATATGGCTCTAGCCCCGAAATCACCTGACTTGACAATCTTTGAGTAGTTTCCTAAAAATCTCTTGCACCCTTTGAAATAGTGTTGGCAACCCTGTTTATGCACTTGTTTGTAAGGGTAACTATTTTGTCAGAACTTTATCTGATTAGTAGTGTTTATACTTTAAAATGAGTCGGTCGTCTGCTCTAAGCGTGACTTTAAAAATTCTCCAGCTGGTAAGTCGGACGTAACGAGGAAGGAGGGAAATTTGTAGTTTAATTGTCAACCTTTTCCTCTACGATGTAGATCACCTGCGTGGCGGCTCTGATTTACAAGAAGCTTACCGATAATCGTGCACGCATGACCCAGAGAATCCAACAGAAAAGTCTCAACGAATGGAATCTATTGCAGAATGTAAGCTGGTCGCAAGAGGGCAGTGACTTCAGCATATTCACCTATGCAGGTTACACCTTTATAATAGCCGTGTGTTTGCTGGAAAGGTAACAACTGGCAGGGTGTGGTCAGCTTAGCTGAGTAGCAGATCGAATAATGCATTCCATTTTATTTTTTTTTCAGATTCATTAACTATCGTAAGATACCCAGCACCACAGATACTCTGTTCTTGAGATTTGGTATGATAATATTTTGCCTTCAAGGTTAGTGAAATCGGAAAATTTTCACAGACCCTCATTAATGTAATATGTGTGGGAAATAATTGTGGTCTCTACACTTTCAGGTATTATGGTCTTCTACACAGTGGAATATGTCCATGAGAATATCCAATTGAATGCTTTGGTCTTGGGTGCGTTGAGTTTTCTGGTGGCCATTCTCTTCTTCCTGGAAGATTGTTGCACCGCAAGGAGCCTGCGTCGGGACAACAAATTCATACAAACCGAAACTTTGGTAGGTAATTAGAAAAACCATAGTTTTCGGCTAAGATGATGACGATGTGACGTCTGTCTGTCCTTCAATAATTTTTTATAGAAACCCATCTCTTCCATACCGATTAAACCCACCGATGACGATGTGTTGCATACGTATGTTTGAAGAGACTGGCAGTTGTTGTTTTTGTAATATTTTTTATAAATAAAAAAATTCTTAAAAAAATCGATAAAATGTTCAATTTAAAAATTTAAGTAATTATGGATAAAATTTTCTATGGGAAAATTTCAACGATTATCGATAAAATTTTCTATAGGAAAATTTCAACGATTATCGATAAAATTTTCTATAGGAAAATTTCAACGATTATCGATAAAATTTTCTATAGGAAAATTTCAACGATTATCGATAAAATTTTCTATAGAAAAATTTTAACGATTATCGATAAAATTTTCTATAGAAAATTTTTAACGATTATCGATAAAATTTTCTATAGAAAATTATTAACAATTATCGATAAAATTTTCTATAGAAAATTTTTAACGACTATAGAAAATTTTTAACGATTATCGATAAAATTTTCTATAGAAAATTTTTAAAGATTATCGATAACATTTTCTATAGAAAATTTTTAACGATTATCGATAAAATTTTCTATAGAAAATTTTTAACGATTATCGATAAAATTTTCTATAGAAAATTTTTAACGATTATCGATAAAATTTTCTATAGAAAATTTTTAACGATTATCGATAAAATTTTCTATAGAAAATTTTTAACGATTATCGATAAAATTTTCTATAGAAAATTTTTAACGATTATCGATAAAATTTTCTATAGAAAATTTTTAACGATTATCGATAAAATTTTCTATAGAAAAATTTTAACCATTATCGATAAAATTTTCTATAGAAAATTTTTAACGATTATCGATAAAATTTTCTATAGAAAATTTTTAACGATTATCGATAAAATTTTCTATAGAAAATTTTTAACGATTATCGATAAAATTTTCTATAGGAAATTTTTAACGATTATCGATAAAATTTTCTATAGAAAATTTTTAACGATTATCGATAAAATTTTCTATAGAAAATTTTTAACGATTATCGATAAAATTTTCTATAGAAAAATTTTAACGATTATCGATAAAATGTACTATAGAAAATTTTTAACGATTATCGATAAAATTTTCTATAGAAAAATTTTAACGATTATCGATAAAATTTTCTATAGAAAATTTTTAACGATTATCGATACAATTTTCTATAGAAAATTTTTAACGATTATCGATACAATTTTCCATAGCAAATTTTTAACGATTATCGATAAAATTTTCTATAGAAAATTTTTAACGATTATCGATACAATTTTCCATAGAAAATTTTTAACGATTATCGATACAATTTTCTATAGAAAATTTTTAAGGATTATCGATAAAATTTTCTATAGAAAATTTTTAACGATTATCGATAAAATTTTCTATAGAAATTTTTTAACGATTATCGATAAAATTTTCTATAGAAATTTTTTAACGATTATCGTTAAAATTTTCTATAGAAAATTTTTAACGATTATCGATAACATTTTCTATAGAAAATTTTTAACGATTATCGATAACATTTTCTATAGAAAATTTTTAACGATTATCGATAAAATTTTCCATAGAAAATTTGTAGCGATTATCGATAAAATTCTTCAATAATTTGTTTTATATAGAAAATTTTATCGATAATCGCTAAAAATGTCTATAGAAAATTTTATCGATATTCGCTCAGATATTCCTATTCCTTCCACTGTGCTTCGATTTTTTTATAGTTTCCCTTAAATGATGTACTAACATCCGCTTTTATTCATAGACTATCCAATTTCATGCTTCATCAGGCATCCTTTTGCGTATTAATAATAAATTCGATTACGAAAAACAATAGCCTATAGAAAGGATGCCAGACAGGCATACCTTCTGTCAGGATGAAACGTATGAAAATTCTTATCCTTATTAAAAAACACACACATACATACCCGTATGTATGTAAGGAATTTGAGTAGCCTCTCAACACCTTCAAACTTGAGATAGACCTTTGTCATAGAAATTCGAAACAAATTTTGCCTAAATTTTAACAAAATTAAGTTTCGCATTTTAACAACTGTGGAAAAAAATCGAAAAGAAAAATCAGCCCTTTTTAGAACCACTTTTCCATTTTTGCAAAAAAAGGCTACGGAAAACTTTTCATATGTGTGAAAAACAAAACATTTCACTTTCCTATCGATTCGAAGTAAAAGTTAAATGGATTGAGATGAGCGGCAGAAAAGCCTTTTTACATCCTGGTCCCCAATACCAGAAACGTGCCGGGAATAAACAAAGTTAACTCTCAGCCCCCACACCTCCCTCCAACTGCCTCCATTTGAAGTGCTGCTTGAATTTTTATGCCAAGTTATGTGGCATAGATTTTTATAAGAAATAAAAGTTGGGAAGGGGGTAATGGTAGGATGGGGGTGCTATGAGGATATGTGCTGTTAAAGGGTGGTTTTTTTCCTGATTCGCCTTTCATCTGCCAGTTAAGTGTGTGTGTTTGTAACCTAAAAACGCAACTAACCATACCAAACATCCTCTAAAGTCCTTGAAGCCCCCATCCCGATGCTTTAACTGCCTTCAAATGGTTTCACTTTCATCATGACGTTGTAATAAACAACAACGACAACAACAAAATAAAAGTTCTACACCTTTCCGATGATTTTTTCATGCGCAATATATAGAAAATATTTGTTGGATTACAGGATGTTGGTGTTGTTGCTGCTCTTTTAATAATGTATGGTAATATTAGAGGGAGTCGAAATATATAAACATTTTTCTATGAAAAATTCTATCGATAATCGATAAAATTTTTCTATGAAAAATTCTATCGATAATCGATAAAATTTTACTATGAAAAATTCTATCGAAATTCGCTAAAATTTTTCTATAGAAAATTTTATCGATAATCGTTAAAATTTTTCTATAGAAAATTTTATCGATAATCGTTTGCAAAAACAAAAAAAAAAGTTAACATTTTTCTATAGAAAATTTTATCGATAATCGTTAAAATTTTTCTATAGAAAATTTTGTCGACAATCGTTAAAATTTTTATCGATAATCGCTAAAATTTTTCTATAGAAAATTTTATCGATAATTGCTAAAATTTTTCTATAGAAAATTTAATCGATAATTGCTAAAATTTTTCTATAGAAAATTTTATCGATAATCGCTAAAATATTTCTATGGAAAATGTTATCGATAATCGCTAAAATTTTTCTATAGAAAATTTTATCGATAATCGCTAAAATTTTTAATGAAAATTTCTATCGATAATCGCTAAAATTTTTCTATATAAAATTTTATCGATAATCGCTAAAATTTTTCTATAGAAAATTTTATCGATAATCGCTAAAATTTTTCTATAGAAAATCTTATCGATAATCGCTAAAATTTTTCTATAGAAAATCTTATCGATAATCGCTAAAATTTTTCTATAGAAAATCTTATCGATAATCGCTAAAATTTTTCTATAGAAAATTCTAGCGATAATCGCTGAAATTTTCCTATAGAAAATTCTAGCGATAATCGCTACAATTTTTCTATAGAAAATTTTATCGATAATGGCTAAATTTTCTTTAATGGATATTTTAACAATTTCTTCAGCTTCACCACCTACCCTCCCTAATGTACCCTCTCATGTTTCCTTTTTCTTCTATGTATGAGCCTGCATGTGTGTGTGTAATCGAGAAAATTAAAGTCCCTTAAGTCCTGGCATGTGTTGAGCTTAAATATGTTAAGGGTTTTTTGTTCCTTTTCTCGTTTTAGTGTCGTTGTTGTTTTTTTCTGTTGAAATGTTAACATGAATATCTGCAGTTTCATTGGCATTCCCTTACAGCTTGTAACTCGCCCATACCTCAATTTGTTGGAAGAAAATACCTAATAAAAACCAATTGCCAAATAACTTTACACAGAGAGTAGAGGCGACTAACCAACGAATTATCATTATTTGAGAACTTTTAAAGGGTGTAGTTTTTAAGGATTTTTTTTTTGGGACTACTTGAAGCTTGGATTTTTGATAGTGAATTATTTTTCCAAGGTCTTCAAACAAATCCGTAAAAATTCAATTTCACACTCTTTTTGAAAACCCTCGAATTAAGTAATTTTCAACAACAACAATGTTGAGTGGCCATTAATTTTAGTTCTCAAAAGTGTCCACTTCATTCATTCTTTTTTTGCGGAACGTAAATTTATTGATTGTTAAAAAAATCCTTTAATGAACTTATGGTCAATAAAAAAGACCTGAAATGATGAGACCGAATCGTTAAACTGAGCCCTTCAAACAATGTTGCCAGCACATTGTGTTAAGTCAAGGCGCTAAATGACACTTTATTACCTCACTCTCTCTCTCTCTCTCTCGTTCAAAAGCTTTTTATGAGCTGCTCAGATGGATGGAGTACTGGCTGGTCTGGGAAGCCAACATGTTCTGTGGCTAAATGAAAATATCCATAATCTGGACACATTTTTCTTGTCCGCTTCAGATAACAGATTATTAAAATATTTAATGGTCATATCCGATCCGACACGACTCGACATGCATGCATGCAGTCGTTGAGTGTCCGGCAAACAAGGCATAAGTTCGTCGTTATGGCACTTCAGCTATGGCTGAAATGTTTAAGGGCTTCCAACAGGTATGGGCCAGAATTACAAAGTGATGAGAGGGGATGAAGGGAAAATTAATGTCACGTCATACATAAGCCACACTTCCTGCTGCCTCTCCTACTTCTCCCCATCCTCCATTCCTCACAAGATTAAATAAAAATAAGATGCTAAAAATCACCATAAAAAAACCTCAAACAAAAATACTTTGTTGAGGATATTCCAACATTTATCACCTGCAATACGCATCCCGTATATCTGTCAAGGATGACCATAAAAAAGTGACGATGATGATAATGATTAACTATTCGATATCCATTACAACAATTTTAAGGATATCGATATAAAAATGATGATAAAGTTGAATTCACTCGACCATATCAATCTCTGCCATCGTTGACATTGTTGACCAGGGCCCGTTAAAAGTTAATCTGATGTCTGCCGGAACATGATGTTTCCCCCTGCTGTCATGCATGTGTGTGTAATCAAATAAATATCGAATATGACCATCCTG